TATCATCCTGCAGAATATTTGACGGGCACATGTGACGACTTGATTTGTTTGAACACTCAAACACCTGCGAGATCACCATGTTCCAAGTTAGACCAATACAAAAGCAACAACTGTTGTCACCCATGGTTTATGTGGTCACCAGGCGCATGTACGGTCACCCTTTTTGCTCCTGTGCCGTGTCGAAGACCTGCAAGACAGTCGAAGATGGCTGCGGCACCTCCTCGTAGGCAGGTTTGCGGAATTCACTGGGTCACTTGGCGAGTCCACCGCGTGAAGGTAAGCGTATCGACTGGATCGAAACAGCAAATCCGAAAGTCGGCATGCGGATTGAGCAAAAAAGTCGCAGGTGCTGGTTATCTGGGGGTTGGTGCTGTTGGTGCAAACTGCCTTTTTGCGAACCTAGTCCTTGAAGACCTTCTCGTGCGTGGATGTTCAAATTTGCGTGCGAGGGAGAGTGTAAGTCAACATGTGTCTTTCATTTGAACAAGCGACCATGGAGAGAATTGACTTTCCGTTGAATGTATGGATATGTGTGTGGATAAGTGCAAACGGGTGCAAACAAATCCAACTCAAATATGTCCTCTGGCTTTTCGGAGCAGAATCCACTGTTGGCCTTGCAAGTATTCACAAAAACTGTGGATAAGGGCAGTTTGGTTGAAACACTGTCAGGTTTCTATCTCAGAGATCAAGCAACCAACTATGCAAACAGAAGTGACTGAAGTGACCAAACGGAGCGTAACTTAGGATATCTTAGGATACTTTTGGCTTGCTTGGCAGAACAACTCGAGAAGCTGCCTGAAAGTCTTCCTCGAAAACCCCTGCATCTTCAAGGTTGTCATCCTGTGCCAAGGGCAAAGTGTCTGGAACAACCGCCTGGGGAGGCTGGAACAAAGTGCTAGCCAGCATGCTGCTTGTTCCGGCTGGGCGTAGCTGGGCGTAGCTGGGCCTAGCTAGCAGCCACAACCACATACTTGGAAGTGTGCCCATGGTCGGCTCCCCCCCCACTCCACCCCATCAGCGAGTGCCTTTTCGCCATGATGATTGACCATGCCGCCTAAAACTAGGCCCTGCGGCTGCCCCCCCAACCTAGACCACTTCAGTGTCTTGTAAAGGAACCTCTGGAACCTGCCAGAAAAAATGACATCCCGTGACATCCCCCTCAAAAATTGGTCCAAACTGATGTCAATCTATGTCGACCGTCTCAGGTCTTGCACGAACAGCTCTGTGGGCATCGCCCCGGACTCGTCCCATTTTCAGGAGATCCAGGCAGTAATCATCGAGGTCGCTGGGAGGCCCTGTTGGTTCCAAAAAGGTGTTAACCAATAGAAGAGCCACCATAGGATAATACCTCCTCCAAAGCTGTGTGGAGGACGTATCCTATCAAGTCCTTTCTACGATTTCTATATAGTGGCTGTAAGCGACATCCTTCGACATCCAGAACGATCCGCTTCCATCTGCGCTTCAGCGGCATCTGCGCGAGGCGGCAACCCGGAAATGTCCCGGTCCCACAGTCCCCGCCCAAGCACTGAAGCGAGGTGAGGGGTGGTAGGAAGGACTGGAGCCCCAGCATTTGTGCAAGGTGCAGATTGTAGATCATGTGATTGGTTATTGGGCCACTCATGCAGCAGTTTCTTGGAACATCATGGAACTGACCCCAATCACCGTTTCCAAACGGCAACCCCTCTGAGCCCTTGGAAATGTCCCTCTGGAGCTGCGGTTGCCGAGTTTACACACCGGAGAACATGCGCTTAAACAAAACGACTCAGGTCGTCCAACAAGGCTCCACTGACGAAGGGAGTTGGGTGCAAGAGTCAAAAGTGTAGCAAGTGGGTCAGTGGGCAGCCCTAGAGCCTTGCCATGGCTTGCCGGCACCACGAGCACCGCATCAGTCTTGTGTTCCTGCCCCAAGGTGCTCAAAAGACAGATTAAATCATCGATGGTCCCAACATATAAACCATGTTGTCTGAGAAATTGTTGAGCCACTCACAGGTTTTGAAACACAAGTAGATGACGATCTAAGCGTCATCTAAGTCGCTTCATGAAATGCAATGACATGCAATGACGCGACTTGAAACTCTAGTACGCTCAAGTAGAAACCATTTATATACACGAATCTTGGAGAATCCCAAATCCTGGTGCCCTAACAGAATCTCAACCTCTCAACATACTCGGAGAGTGACGTCAAAACCATGCTGCCCGGTTCGGCACGTTGCGGCACGTTTGCGGAACACCCGGGGGGCACTGTCAATGTTCCACGTTACGGTACCCGCCACGACCTGACCCTAGACCCGCCCTTGCAGCGGCGCAGCCTTGCGATTTCGCTTCGGACCCGGCCTTTCACCAATATGGTCTGTACATGTCTTCGACTCAACCGGGAACGACCTCTTGCCATGCTATGAAAAAGGCAAGTCTCAAGTCTCCAATCCTTTACTTCCTTTGCAGAAGCTGCCTGCAAAGGAGCTTGTTCCCGGGTTTGCTGCATTTCAGCACCATGTTGCCTCTGAAGTTCCTCCAACACGTGCATGATCTGGTCCAACAAAAAGTCAACAAAATGGTACGAACTAAGAAGTGTTTGTAGCTCGTGCAAAAGGAATATCCAATCCACTCCATCCTGAAAGAAATCTTGACTCAATATCAGTGACTACAAAAAAACAGCAAAATGAAATGCAGCCAGAACAGTACATATCTTGTTTGTTTTGTCTTCTCTCCTCCAACGCCAGCTGATGCTGTTCATCCTTCTCCTGGCAAACTTGGGATCTGCTCTAATGGCCTGTGACTTGGGAAAAAACATGCCGCACTAAGACCCCATTGAAACCATGAAAGAAATACATCTAACTGAATATCAATCACCATGCGGGAGAAAGGCATCATAACCCCGGCAGTTGCACACAAACAGTTCAGGCACCAAGACACTTATCTATATTGAAATTGACATTCAAAGCAAACAAACTGATATTAAACAAAAATTAGTCAAATTCCATTGCGTCTTGTTGCTGAATTTCTCTTGCCAACCTGCAGGACTTGCTTGAGCTCAGCATGTTGAGCCTGAAGGTCCTCCAAAACAAACCAGACTCAACATCTGAACAGGAACACTCCTTCTTCTTGGAGAACAAAACAACAAAACAACAAGGACATCTTGTTGGCACACAATCATTGATGGGTCCTCTAGGGCCTTCTTGTCATGCGACGGACTACGTTCCTTGCCGGTGCCAACCCTGCGCTGAGTGTTGATAAACTAGATGTCATGAAGTGTTGATTAAACCGCCATATTTAGCACGTACAGACCTGAAGCATGTAGGTACTTGTAACCGTTCAAGTATGATGCGACAAAGTTTAACAGAAAAAAACAACAACACACTAGCTATGCAAAAGACTTCCAACAAACCAACCTGTGTGCAGGCATCATCTTGCACAACATCTTGTCAGAATGATCATTGTGTACAAATTGGCTGTTTGCTTAAAGGAACATGTTTCAACTTGCTCTAAGGCAATACCACAGAAACCTGCCTGCACCGGAGCTTGTTCCAGCTGTGCTTGCTGCAGCTCAGCGCCATGTTGTCTCTTTTGCTCCTGCGACTCTTGCATGATATGGTCCAACAAAGTGGCAGGACCTAAACTGTGTTCGTAATTCTTCCACAATGAATTTCCACTCCATGCTGCAGGCTTCCCCTTTTCAGTATCAACAGCTGTGTAAAGGCTGCAACAGGAAGTGCTCACCAAAGCATATTCTGATCCTTTTTGTCTTCTCTCCTCCAAAGCCAACTGATGCTGCACATCCTTCTCCTGACAAACTCGGGGTCTGCTATGATTTTCCAATTGAACCCATCAAAGTTTAAACTTGTATCTATCGCTCGCCATGCCCGAGAAAGGCATCCAAACCCGACATGTTGCAGGCTAACAGCTCAGGCACCAAAACACCTCTTTGTTGAAATGCACGTTCAAAGCAAACCATATGTCAAATTCCATGGCACTGCAATGCTCAACTTCTCTAGCCAACCTGCAGGGCTTTCTTGAGCTCAGCATGTTGAGCCTGAAGGTCCTCAAAAACGAGCAAGACTCAACATCAGAACAGTACTCATTCTTGGAGATCAAAATTAAAAGAAAAACACAAAAACGTCTTGTTGGCAGGTCAATATCTGTGAGAACAGGTCCTCTAGGGCCTTCCTGTCATGCGACTCGCGTTCCTTGCCGGTTGGACTAAGCTGCTCAACTGGATGCCACATGATGGCAAATGAACTGTTGATTGAATCACAATAGTTCCCTAAAGGGGAATAATTACTAGTAGAACAATACAATGGGTTCAAACACACACTAGCTATCAATAAAAGGCTGTAACCAAAGTTCAACAGCTTCTGGTCAGATTTGTCAATGTTCCAACATCTTAGCAAACACAAACTAGCTCTTTGCTTGCTCGGAGGAAGAACGTCTTTCCGTTTGCTTTCACGCAGTACCACGCAAACTGCCTGGAGCGGAGCTTGTTCCCGCTGTGCTTGCTGTAGCTCAGCACTATGTTGTTTCTTTAGCTCCTGCGACTCTTACATGATATGGTCCAACAAAGTGGCAGGATCTAAATTGTGTTGGCAAGTTGGGAACTCTTGCGCAATCAATCTCCACTCCGTCATGCAGGACATCTCTGGTTCAATATCAGAAAATATGTTGATCCTTTTTGTCTTCTCTCCTCCAAAGCCAACTGATGCTGCCCATCCTTTTCCTGACAAACTTGGGATCTCCTATGATGGTCTATGACTTCCACGTCACATGCCACTCTAAGACCTCATTGACCCCATGAAACTTTAAACATCTATCTATCGCTCCCATGCAAGACAAACTCATCATAGACCGACATGTTGAACGCAGACAACTCAGGCACCAAAACACAATCTTTTTGTTGAAATGCACTTCAGCTTGACCCATGTGAGATTGAGCAAACTAACATATGTCAAATTCCATGGCATTGTATTGCTCAACCTCTTTAGCCAACCTGCAGGGCTTTCTTGAGCTCAGCATGTTGAGCCTGAAGGTCCTCCAAAACGAGCAAGATTAAACATCTGAACAGTAACAAAAAGATCAAGAAGGACACGTTGTTGGCTGGTCAACATCAGTTGGACTAAGCTGCTCAACAGGATGCCACATGATGGCAAATGAACTGTTGGTTGAGTCACAATAGTTCTCTTAGGGGATTCGTTACTTGTTGCACGTCTGCTAGACAAATTAAAACAATGGGTTCAAACACACACTAGCTATAAATAAAAGGCTGTAACCAAAGTTCAACTGTATCTCGTGAGATGTGCCAATTTTCCAACTTTTAAGCAACACAAACTAGCTGTTTACTTGCTAAGAGGAACAAAGTCTTTCCGTTTGCTTTCACGCAGTACCATACAAACTGCCTGGAGTGGAGCTTGTTCCCGCTGGGCTTGCTGTAGCTCAGCACTATGTTGTTTGTTTAGCTCCTGCAACTCTTGTATGATAGGGTCCAACAAAGTGGCAGGATCTAAACTGCGTTGGCAAGTTAGCAACTCTTGCATAATGAAAGTCCACTCCGTGCTGCAGGGCATCCCTGTTTCAATATCAATATCAATAGCGGAAAAAACAGCAACAGGAAGGTCGCCATTTGTTGACTTCTCTCCTCCAGAGCTAACTGATGCTGCCCATCCTTCTCCTGACAAACTTGGGATCTGCTATGATGGTATATGACTTGAAAGTCACATGCCACACTAAGACCCCGTTGACCCCATGAAACTTTAAACATCTATCTATCGCTCGCAGTGCAAGACAAACTCATCATAGACCGACATGTTGAACGCAGACAACTCAGGCACGAAAATGTATTATCTTTCTTGACATGCACTTCAACTCGACTCATCTGAGATTGAACAAACGAACATGCGTCAAATTCCATGGCATGGTATTGCTCAACTTCGCTAGCCAACCTGCAGGGCTTTCTTGAGCTTAGCATGTTGAGCCTGAAGGTCCTCCAAAACAAACAAGATTCAACATCTGAACAGTACTCAATCTTGGAGTCTTGGAGAACACACAAACAAAACAACAATGACACCTTGTTGGCAGGTGAAAATCAGTGAGAACAGGTCCTCTTGGGCCTTCCCGTCATGTGACTCGCCTTCCTTGCCGGCTGGACTAAGCTGCTCAACTGGATGCCATGCACATGGCAAATGAACTGTTGATTGAATCACAATAGTTCCCTAAGGGGATTAATTACTAGTAGAACAATACAATGGGTTCAAACACACACAAGCTATTAATAAAGGCTGTAACCAAAGTTCAACAGCTTCTGGTCAGATTTGTCAATGTTCCAACATCTTAGCAAACACAAACTAGCTCTTTGCTTGCTCGGAGGAAGAAAGTCTTTCCGTTTGCTTTCATGCAGTACCATGCAATCTGCCTGCAGCGGAGCTTGTTCCCGCTGTGCTTGCTGTAGCTCAGCACTATGTTGTTTCTTTAGCTCCTGCGACTCGTACATGATATGGTCCAACAAAGTGGCAGGATCTAAACTGCGTTGGCAAGTTGGCAACTCCTGCGCAATCAATTTCCACTCCGTGCTGCAGGGCATCTGTTTCAACTTGAGAGGAGGGAGACACGAAAGGTAGAACAGCGGGAAGAGAAGAGAACGCGAGAGGCAGGAACAAAAATGCAATGTTCGACATGGTAACTTGCCCCATGGCTCAGATCATCGGTGAGCATTGAATCGGAGCATCATAGGATTTGAACTATCCTGAAACCATAAGAGGCTCACGAAGACGTTCCCCAGGAGAGAATTTACGTGCTTCACAAAACAAACTCTAGGTATGTATCCCCTCGGGGAACACCTTTCGTGATTTGAAATTTATATGCACTCTTTCTGAATGTTCAAGAGGGTTTCAACTCATGAGAGGCTCACGAAGACGTTCTCCAGGAGAGAATTGAATTTAGAGGGGGGGGGTCTGTATTGAAAAATCAATTCCAAGGGGGCGGGGGGGGGTCTGTATTGAGAAATCAATTCGAGCGGGGGGGGGTTAAATTGAATGATCACTTATTAGACCCGGACGCGCCAACACTTGCTTCGCAAGACAAACTCAAGGTATCCCCTAAAGGGCTACCTTTCGTGATATCAGAACATATTCTGATACTTTTTGTCTTCTATCCTCCAAAGCCAACTGATGCTGCCCATCCTTCTCCTGACAAACTTGGGATCTGCTATGATGGTCTATGACTTTACCGTCACATGCCACACTAGGACCCCATTGACCCCATGAAACTTTAAACATCTATCTATCGCTCGCATGCAAGACAAACTCATCATAGACCGACATGTTGAACGCAAACAACTCAGGCACAAAAACGCCTTCTCTTTGTTGAAATGCACTTCAACTCGACCCATCTGAGATTGAGCAAACTAACATATGTCAAATTCCATGGCATTGTATTGCTCAACCTCTCTAGCCAACCTGCAGGGCTTTCTTGAGCTCAGCATGTTTAGCCTGAAGGTCCTCCAAAACGAGCAAGATTCAACATCGGAACAGTAACAAAAGGATCAAGAAGGACACGTTGTTGGCTGGTCAAAATCAGTTGGACTAAGCTGCTCAACTGGATGCCACATGATGGCAAATGAACTGTTGGTTGAGTCA